CGTTGCCAGTGTTTCTGGGGGACACTTCCAATTCCATTCTTTCCAGGGATCCGAATCTTTTCAGAAAAGCGTCAGAACCCCAGGGGAAACAGATCCGGTTTTTGCAAAGAACGATGGTTGAAAAGAATGGAGTCGGAATCAACCCCTACGCAGAGGGTCCAAGTACCTCATGAGGATGGCTTTTGGGGGGTAAGAAGGGGTCCAAGTACCTCCTTAGAAGGTACCAAGGGACCCTCTGGGCTAGAGTCTTCCGCTCGGGTTTTCCGGAAACTCAGGACGCCTTCTCGCTGGAGGGCCGCGACCGGCGCTTCGGGGGCACTCACCTGGGCTTCGACAGGCGCAACGGCCATCGGGGGGAGGATGGAGAGACGTTTGGCCGTTTTGGGTCCTGGATCCCAGTGGCGATGTCTTTCATTTCGCGGGTTCCCTTTGAAAATCAAAAACAAACTACCAACATATTTTGGTTTTTCAAAGACAAACTACCAACATATTTTGGTTTTTCAAAGACAAACTACCAACATATTTTGGTTTTTCAAAGACAAACTACCAACATATTTTGGTTTTTCAAAGACAAACTACCAACATATTTTGGGTTTTCGGACCCCAGTGGCGACTTCTCTCATTTCGCGGGTTCCCTTTAAATTCAACGACCAAAAAATGACCCTCTTTTCCCACGGCCACCCCGGATGATATCTCGGTAGCCAAGGCCGATTCATCAACTGGGCGATTTATCGGGATCCTTCGCTTTTGGGCATCCTGCGCATTTTGGGCAAGCTGTCCATTTGTCCGGCGGACCTTCACGTTTCCACTTTGGCTGTTACGTTCCCTCTGTGAAGGCCGCAGAATCATCCAGCTTTTAAACCATTGCATTTGTGGAATCACCGGGTTTTCATTTTAAAAAAAGAGCAGCAACAAAAATCAAAAAGAAAACAGGGTCTTTATGAAAAGCAACGAAGGAGAAGCCGGGTTCAACTCCTTATGACAAAGCTCCCGCGCGTGGAGCCCGGAGTTCAACAGCGTTGGCCTTGAGCCGGGGGAACCCCGCATGAACTGAGTTCCCTTTGGATGGTGAAAGACATGTTATACGGATCACTGCCTAGTTGACCTGAAAAGCCATTTGGGAGCCGTCCGTAATTGCGTGTCTGAAACTTATGAACAGAGGTAACTTGTTGAGTCGCGCGATTGGGAAAACTCGAGCCGCGGTTGGCCGGCGATTGGAGAGCGAAAGGGAAACGAATTCATCATGAGTTTGGAAGTTGCTTGGCATCTACTACTACTACTACTACTACTACTACTACTACTACTACTACTACTATTACTACTACTAGTCCTGCTACTACCACAACTACTAATCTCTTCCCCCTATTAATAAATACCCCCCCCGATATAAATAATTCCCCCCAAAAAATAATATATATATATATACATATATGTATATATATATATATATTTAATTTGGCTTTTTGGGGTTGGTTTTTTGCTTTTCAAACAATGTGAGGGTTCACATAGGATTTGGAGGAAATGGACTGAGTTGCAAGGTCCGCAAGAAAGCGGTTTAATAAGGAAATTTGATGTATCGTTCTATTTGTTTACCAGTTTACTGGTTGTTTGTTTGCAGCCAGGCAGGTTAATTAGCCAGCATGTGCGGGAGAGAGACAGTCGCAGCTAGACATCTTTTGGGGACATGTTTTCTTTTGAGGGATACCCCAATAATTAAAGGATCCAATTTACAAAATGGGTGCAGCTACCTGACCTTGTGATTGACTGCTAGACAGTCCAGTGCTCATAACCCCTACAAAAAGAGGGACAGCCAGGCAGAAAGGATGTTTCGTAGTTTTTTGGGGCAAGCCCAGAGCTCTGCCCAGCAGGGGGGGCAAAAGCAGGGCATCAAACATGGTAGATTAATAGCGTTAATAGGGGGGTGCTGGCTTTACTAATGGGGGGGTGCTGCTGTTGCAAGTAAAAAAGGAGCTGGTGTGCAAAAGCAGGGCATCAAACATGGTAGATTAATAGGGGGGTGCTGGCTTTACTAATGGGGGGGTGCAAAAGCAGGGCATCAAACATGGTAGATTAGCAGGGGGGTGCTGGCTTTACTAATGGGGGGGTGCTGCTGTTGCATGTGCCAAAGTTGGGCAAGTTAAAATTAGATCAAAAACGCATGATGTACCGGGGGGTTTGGGGGAGGGGAGCTTTAATAGGGGGGGGGTTGTCAGGGAGGCAGGGACAACCAGGGACAACCTTTTGGGGAGAGAGTCAAGAACAACCTTTTGGGGAACCCACCAGCTTTTGGGGAAGCAACCTTTTGGGGAATTGAGGAACCCACCCTTTGAAAAGTGAGGCTGGAAGCTTGCCCCCTAATAAGGATTCCAAGACTTTAGTATTGGTTTAGTATTGGCGCAATGGAAAATCAATTGTGCGGAGTGGAAATCTGCTCTCGGGCCCCGGATTTGCATTTATTACTAATGGGGGTCACTCATTAATAGGGGGAGCGGATTACTACTACTACTACTACGACTGCTACTACTAGTACTACTACTAGTCCTGCTACTACTACTACTACTACTACTACTACTACTACTACTACTACTACTACTGATACTACTATTCTTATTACTTCCATTACTACTGCTACCTTCTGCTACTGCTACCGCTACTGCTACTGCTACTGCTACCACTACTACCACCACTACTGGTACTACTTTTACTACTATCACGACTACCGCCATTCGTTTAGTATAATAGTTTAAATTGCCAGGAATCCTACCAGCATGTCTGGTTTTGCTAGTACTTTCATTATTGCCGCGAATTTGTGGTAATGACTTAGTAAGCAGCAGTTGCCGGGTGCACCTTGAGTATTCTGTGGTGGCACGGCAAGTACCATGCAAAACGCACGCGCGAGTGCGGACTGCTCGCGCGCGGAACCCGAGCGCGCGGAACCCACAGGCGCAGAACCCGCGCGCGCGGGTTCCGCGCGGAACCCGCAGGCGCGGAACCCGCAGGCGCGGAACCCGCAGGCGCGGAACCCGTGCGTGCCGAACCCGCGGCCGCGTAGAATTCGCGTAGTGCCTATTTCACGCTTCTACCTTCTCACTGGCGCTGCCCGCAAAAGGATACAACATCTCTGAAGCATCCCAGTTGTGTTGTTGCTTGCGCTCCTTCCCTAGATGGGGTTTTGTGATGGCTTTGGCCTGCGTTGTATTTTTCTATCATGTCTCAAAGTGTTCATTTGACTTGCTACCGCGCTGCATCCAGGGCTATTAGACCGCCACAGCAGGATGAGTGTCATCTTTTCTTAGGGATTGCTATTACTGCTACTAGTCTCAGCAGGAACATTGTTTCAATACAACCGCTGGCATTGTAGTAACGGTACCTTACTACCGGGGCTGCTTTGTTTCTACTTTTTTGTTGCTTGCTGGAAAACGAGACGTCATTGCTTTAGGGTTGATCCTCACCCTAGGGCCTTAGTTAGGGTCTGAAACAGGTCTGAAACAGGTCTGAAACAGGTCTGAACCAGGTCTGAAACAGGTCGGAAACAGGTCTGAAACAGGTCTGAAACATCCAGAATTCTGAAACATCCCGACGCATGTCGCTGATTTTGACTGCGCAGGCTTGCCCGAAAGTTCCCTCTAGAACCCTGGATGTTGACTTTGTCTGGCAGGCCCAGACAGTGCTTTCCAAGTCTGATTGCTAGCAAGGGCTAGATGGAAGCTGCAAACCGAAGTTTCGCCGACAAATTCCGCGATTGGACGGCGATTGGACCGCGATTGGACGAATTCCGCCAGTGAGCCCCTGCCCATCCGGGCTTTGCCGCTTCCTTCTTGTCACTTTTTTCTTGTTCCGGTGAAAGGTTGACTTGTTGGTGACCGCCCCCAAAGACAGCGAGCCACGACTCTGAAGCAGGTTTATGGTGGCCAACAAGTTGCTGAGGCGGAGGGAAAATGGAGCCACATGAAAGACTTTGCTGCAGACAGCAATGAGTCCAGTTCCCCGAGCAGCACTTCTACCACATCAGATTCTGTGGACTCATGGGATCGAGCAAGTTGCAGCGGCGAGAGGCGAAAAGAAGGCGGCTATGCCCAATGTTGCTCCGCGATTGGGAACTGTGGGACCGCGATTGGACCGCGGTTGGCCGGCGATTGGGAGGTTCCGAGGCAAAGTAATTTGTACAACCCCCATTAAAAAATAACTGCTTGGAGAAGAGTGCTTCTTTCCCCACTAGCGAAGCAAGCAAGTGTTTGAAGGTGGTTTTCGATCAACCCATCCGTCTTTTTCGAAGGGAGATGTGGGGGTGTCTTTTTTGAGGTAGCCCTTCTGTGAGTGTTTAAAGAGAAGCCAAAGTAAAACCTCCATTTTGGGGCCCCGGACATGGGGGGACCCCTACAGAAAGACATGCCCATGCCCATGTCTCGCGTTTCTCTCAGCCAACGCCGCCACTCACCTGGAACCCGACAAAAGCTCCCGCAGCTTTCTTCAGTTTGGCGGCAAGCGCCCTTTCAGCCACTCACTTGGAACCCGACAAAAGCTCCCGCGGCTTCCTTCAGTTTGGCGGCAAGCGCCCTTTCAGCCACTCACCTTGAACCCGACAAAAGCTCCCGCGGCTTCCTTCAGTTTGGCGGCAAGCGCCCTTTCAGCCACTCACCTGGAACCCGACAAAAGCTCCCGCGGCTTCCTTCAGTTTGGCGGCAAGCGCCCTTTCAGCCACTCACCTGGAACCCGACAAAAGCTCCCGCGGCTTCCTTCAGTTTGGCGGCAAGCGCCCTTTGAGCCACTCACCTGGAACCCGACAAAAGCTCCCGCGGCTTCCTTCAGTTTGGCGGCAAGCGCCCTTTCAGCCACTCACCTGGAACCCGACAAAAGCTCCCGCGGCTTCCTTCAGTTTGGCGGCAAGCGCCCTTTGAGCCACTCACCTGGAACCCGACAAAAGCTCCCGCGGCTTCCTTCAGTTTGGCGGCAAGCGCCCTTTCATTTGGGTCAGGGGTGACCTGTACTTCACCCGCGACATGGATAACTTCACGGAGTGGTTGGCCGACCGCGCTCTGAAGTGGCCAGAGGCGGGTTCACAGAGACCGGATCACATCACTGATCATTCCATTTGCTGATTGTTTGAAAATGCGCCCTATTGTTTTTTGAAGGGAGCTTATCATTACTGGAAATGTGTTTGCTCTTTTCCGGGGGACTTGCGCTTTCAGTGGATCGGTAGCCAAGGCTTGATGGGTCTCATAACCCTAATGCCTCGGCTGTTGCGATCGTCGTTGTTCGAGTTTATAACCTTCTTCTTCTTCTTGCTGCTGCTGCTCCTGCTCCTTGCTCCTGCTGATGCTGCTGCCGGTTCTCGCGATGGCGTCACCATCATCGTCGTTGACATTGCCTTCAATCAATCGCAAAGCCGCAGCTCTTGAGCATGACATGGTTGTCGTTGGGAAGCATTTTACATTTTTGCTTATTGTGGTTTAGTGGGAAATTCCACTTAACTGTTAAAGTTTTCAAATTTTGCTCCCCTTCCAAACGTCAACCAAGATGAGTAAGGTCCTAACTACACTCCAACTTGCCGCTTGCTTCTCCCCAAAACAAAGCGCATCAAAGAGCCGGCTTCGGTGCACAAGGCCTTCCATCCTTGTTTGCAGCAAATGCGTGGATCTATGGGGTTCAACGAGCATCGAAGATGGAAAGACACGGGCCCTGGACCCTCAAACTAGCCATAAAAAGGGAAGGCACCCCATAATTTCGGGGGCAACAACCCATGTGTTTGCGTAGTTTGAGGGTCTGGGTGACCAGTTTGGTCTATTGGCATCTCAAGATTCCAATTTGTCTCACGTTGAAGCCTTCACACTAACGTAGCTAGCCTAGATTGTCCTCAACCCGTTAGGTCTACCAAGGGTGTACCCCCAATGCCTGCACGTATAGAATATATATATATATATACACATATCCGTGGTCAACGAGTAGGTACAAGCCTTGGGCTGGAACCCCGTAAAAGGGTATATGAGCCCACAGCTTCGACTTTGGGCGTAGATCCGCATTCTTTCTGCGTCACCTGGATGGAACGCATGCCCCAAAACAAACATGGGTTATGACCATGCTACTGCTCGCACGAAAAAAGGGTCAGGCCTACTTCAGGCTGTTTTTTGTGTTGCATGGTGATCTTTACCTTTTGCCTTTGCAGGTGGACACAGTTGTCCCAACAACCAGCGTAATGCCAGCGATGTCTTCAACAACCAGCATGCTGCTTATCATCGCGAATGTCAGCAACCAGACCAACATGAGTGACTTGGATTCGCAGAGGCTATCCCTTGCATCAGTGACATGGCAACGAGAAGTTGGATCCTGTTAGGTTCCCTGTGGGATCGGTTACCACCAATGCCCGCTGGATGAGCGTTGCCGTGGTTGAAGCGTTAGAATGAGATTTGGGGCGGCCTGCAGTGGGGGAACTGTTGAGCTGGTTGCCTTCTAAGGCGAAGCGGAAGCGGAGGGGGACGGAGACGTGATGGAGGGCGAAATCATGGAAGAGAACGAGACGCGCGGCCAGATGTCGCGCACTGCCTGTGAGGTTCCATTTTTTTCTGTTGATTGGGAGAAGGAAGTTACCTTTGCAGATGCGTCACACGGACTTGGCAGAAGATCGTCTTGAAAACAGTGTTCAGGATGGGCCCAGTTTCAGGCATCAGTTTTTGGGTAGGCTGAGTAGTGTTTGGGAAGTGAGGACGGAGAACGGCAGCGACTACCTGAACCAGTCCTGGCAGAATCGAACTCCGATGAATCGAAGTCCGATGAATCAGACGCGGGAATCAGCGGAGGCTGAGCAACCAGAGGCAGCCAACACAACAAGCGAGCCAGCTGTTCCTTTCCTGGAGATGTGGCAACCTTTTTCTTGGGATCAGATTTCTGTCTCAAGGCCTCATTTGTGTGTGTGTGTGGCCGTGTGGCCTGGTCTCCCAGCCCGTCAGGATGAGGATATGGAGGACTACACGCCTGACCTCAGCGACGAGAACGATTCAGACTGGGACAACACCAGTAATTTCACTTCGACTACAAGCTCCACCCAAACCAGCACCTCCACCTCAAGCACCAGCAGTAGCACGAGCACTACCACCAGCACCTCTTCCACTAGCACTTCCAGCAGCACCTCCAGCACAACCACATCGAGTTCCACTTCCTCCAGCACCACCAGTTCCAGCACTTCCAGCACGAGCTCCTCAACCACCAGCAGCAGCAGCAGCACAAGTAGCAGCAGCACCACCAGCAGCACTAGCTCAACCAGCAGCACCAGCTCCACAAGTAGCACCACCAGGACCACCACAAGCGCCACAATCGTGGAGAATGCCACAGAGCACTTCGTCCGCAGTCAGTAGTTTACCCGGCCCTCCGTCCGCGGCCAGTAGACCTCGGTTCCTTTTAGAGAGGTGGATGACGCACGAAACTGGACGTTGTAACCTCATTGGGCCCAAATGTGGGTGGATCCTGATGAATCCTGCTAGAGTGATGCTCCTTCATCTTTGGGCTCTCTGCACTTTTTTTCACACCGCTGCTTCACCTTGTGACAGCACTCAGTTCATGCGCTCAACTCGATGCTCGAGCAACCCTCGGGATGAGCAGTTTAGGTTTCCAAGAGAGAACAAACCTTTCTCAGGGGTCCCCTCTTTTACTCTCCCTGAGACCAACCTGGAATGAGACATCAGCTTAACATGAGGAGGGCAGCCTGGGAAAGCCAAAGCACTCCTTCGGAGGGTCATGCTTTCACAACAATATTGAATCAACATATATATATATATACACCTAGAGAGAGGGAGAGAGAGAGGGAGAGAGAGAGAGAGAGAGATGGACACATATACCTGCAGCCTCAAGCCAGTCGTCAAAAAGGGCGATTGATCCAAAATCTATGGTTTCTACCCTCTCGCAAGGGTAGTTTGAAGGTCCGCGCATTTATTGTCATTCCTCAGAATTCTGACTGGGTCGATTCCTTTGGTGCATAAAAATTAAGCGCTCAGGTGGAACTGGACGGCCAACGAATCCTGGCCGGACCTCGTGGACACTTGCCAGAAAATAAGCAACCTGGAGTCTCCTTCTGCCCCTTAAAAGAGGGTCCATGACCCCGTAATTTTGAGTAATGACCCCCTTTTTACGGGTCATGGAGACTTCAGAGGAGGTTGTGTTGTCCTTTTGTGAGGGCGCCTGGACCCTGAAAAACTTTTGGGGGGAGCGATCTTAGGAGTTTCGGGGTCACCAGGTAATTCCCTTTTGACGCGTTTTTTTGGCTCAAAGTTCAACATCTGACTTCCTGAGTTCATGAACTTTAAACTTTTTGGGAAGACCATTTTAGTGGTTAATATAAAGTTTGGACTTTTTTTGGGCCATCCACTCAGCCAGTGAGACTTACTTCTCATCAACAAACCACACATATCTCCCGATTGCTGCAAGCCTTGCTTCTAACCTTTGTAGCTACGGCTAGGGGATTCGTAGGCCTGATGCGAGACGAACAGCCAAATATGGTATCAAGATGCTATATCCAAGTACCAACCCCCTAGCAACAAGGTTTTTCTCCCACTGAATGAGGGACTTATAAGTGGGTTAGGCAAAGCCAGTACGACTTACAAGCTTGGGAAAAGGCGCAAGTGGCCCTGATGTATGCTTGGCATAATATCCCAGACATAAATTATATCCCATGTGGATCAGACATCTGGAGACCCAACGAAGAGCTGCCAAGGGGCCCGACCCGCGCCAGCTGCATCCATTTGCTTAAGAGCATGTGTTTTTTTATTGTTGGCTGGTTTGAAAGGGAATCTATCACTGCTGGACATATATCTTATTTTTTGTCCAGGCGAAGAAATGGAAGCAAGGGAGCCACCCGCGCCTCGGGCCTCAGGACATCTGGGTTGCTGGCGGCGACTTCTTCGTCACCGTGGACAGCGGCTGGGATCGCAGCTTCGTGACCACGGACCCGGAGTTCCTCTCGAGGAGCGCGGGGAAAGTGCGCGGAGCGCGGGAGCAGATGCCACGGGCGGAAAAACATGCGTCGACCTGTCGCTTTTTTAGAGGCAACCCCCCGTGGCTTCCCGCCTTTCTTAGAGGCAAGCTCCTAGGATTGTGTGTTATGTTTGGGGGGATCCGCGATTTCGAGGCAAATCCTGGGTCCTTTTGGAGACCCCCCTGGAGTCAAGCGTTTTGCTGAAACCCTGTGGCCCCATGGATTTGTCTTAGGAATCGGAACCCTCCAAAAATGACAGCTGTCCTTTTTGGTTTCCATCCAAACCATCCCAAAAAGGGTTCCCTCAAAAAATGACACACACACACACAAACGCACAGTGTCAGGGAATTGGCCGCTATTGTTTGGACAGTATCCTTTTGGTGTGTAACCACGCTTGCACAGCCTTGATTTTGGAAAGTCGCAACCTGAGGTTTGCTAGGGTGGCCCTCATCCAACTGGGCTCCACGCTTTCTGTGTTGCAAAAAGACCTCTATTGGATGCTAGGACTTTAACTTTTTGCCAACTAATGGTTTTTCCATCAAACCACTAAAGTTACACTTGTTGCAGGGGAGCAGAAGCAACCGAGAGACGTTAGATTCTCATCTTGCAACTGAACATGCGCGCAAGCTACATGTTCATTGGCAGTTGGAAGTGGGTGCCTAGAGTTGACAGCGATATTTGACTCGGCTGTTTGAACTTGACATTGAGGTTGCAGGAGGGCAATGAACAGGGGGAGGTGAAAGCCGCGTTCAAATGGCCAGTTCAATTCACTGGGGAAACTGAGCATGTTCAGGCAGAGATACGCTTGTCAATAGCCGTCTGACGAATAGCTGGCCTACTGGTTATTACTTGACTGTGGGCCAAAATGAACGGTACAGTTTTGGGGAGGTGCACTAGTCATTTTAGTATTTTTTAGCGGGGATTGCGATGTTCACTGGGGGTACAAACTGGATTTTGACCGTTGTGGCTTTTGTTTGGGTGATTCGATGCCCTTCCCGACTTGGGCTCTGCGATTGATTAATCAGTGATTGATTTTGATCAGAGACGCTTCATTGACTATTGACAAACAAACCCACAACGACAACATGACTTTGTTTGGCCTTGCTGCTGGCACTTTGGAAGCACGCAACTACAACATGACTCTGTTTGGCCTTTCTGTTAGCACTTTGGAAGCACTGACAAAAATGGGGCCCTGCTCACAACAGAGGCAGCATCGACCCATACCCAAGCAGCGGTTTTGCTCGGTACGCTTGAGCATGCCGGATGCCCGCCACCTTGACTCAATGGGGCATGATGTTGGCTTGTTCCTCAACCGACAGAACACATATGGCTGTGGCTAAAAAATCAACAGATGGGACAAAATGCAGGTTTGAGTTTCTGTTTCATTTATCAAGGTGCCATTTTGGTACATTTATTTGAGCCACAGCCATATCAAAGTTTAAACCACAGATCAACATCCTTTCAAGCCTCCCTCTCCCCGTCCCCCCGCCCCCTTTTTTCGCGGCGGCGCTCCATCCGCACTCGTTTGTTCGCGTCGCGTTTCGCGTTTCGCGTTTCGCGAGGCACCTCATCCTGTGCCCCACGCCCGACGGCTTCTCCTGGAAGCGCAAGGTGGATGCCACCTTAAAGGTGACCCTCAACGGCCAGGCGCGCGGGGCGCCACCGACCACCCGCGACCGGGCGGATCGGGCGGCTGCAGGGGGCAGGGAGAAGGGTGTTTGAAGATCCCTTTAGACTCACTGCGAAAGAGTTCCGGCGGCCCGTGGTTTTGTTTGCACCAGTTTTTGTTCAGGTCTGTAGGCCCTCGTTGACATGTGGGATGAGTGGAGTTTCAGCACATACACAACTGAGGCTCACTGCTGAAAACGCAAATCTATCAGCAACCCATATCTCATAATTCAGGTACCTGGATCCTCAAACTACCTGTAGAAAACGGAAAGTGCCCCATCAATTTTCGGGCAAGAATAAGGGAATTTTGAGGGTCCAGGCAACCCTTAGTTAGCGGTTTGGATTCTTAGTCCATTGCAGTCTATGCGCCTTTCCATTGCAGATGTGCTCATGGCGGTATCACTCTTCGACTTGATTGAAGGACTGCCAAGCTTGTTGGTGTTTAGTGCTTTGAGTTTTAGTCTGGGCCGTTGTGAACCCAGCTGATTGAACGATGTTCATATTTCCATCAACTTCAACAAGCTCGGCTTGTTGTGAATCAGGTAATGCGTGGGCCTCCATTTTAGTTCACCAACCGAATCCCACGCTTTCAATCACGGGTGGAAAGGAAGCAAGGGACGTTCCACAAACGCACTTTCATGTACCTGGAGTCTCCATGTCCCTTCAAAATGTTCGAGGCTCATGACCTTTCATTTTGAGCATGTTCGCCCCGCCCCGCCTAGCTCATGGGGTGCAAGAGCGAGGAGCAATATGAAGCCCTTCTTGCACGCGGATTGCCTGTAAATGAGGTCATAACTAAGGCGGCCAACCGGATTTACTACCACCCGAAGACACAAACAACACAAGCGCTCCGCAAATGGCTGGGGTTTTCACGCTTTTGCCCGGCCCAAAAAATTACGCACCGAGCCCTTCGGCCCCTTTTCGGGGGCTTGAGTTTGGATGGCGCGGCGCAGGAGTGGTCCAACGGTCTGGACGTGACCTTCCTTCCGGGCCAAGAGGAACCATGGGTCTCCAGCGCGCACGAGCTGGCGCCGGAGGTGATTCGACGGATTTGAAAGTGGGCTCGCGCGGCGAAGAAACTGCATGCCGGAAAGACACACAAACTGGGGCTACTGGGCGTTCCTAGCTAGTGGTTGGAAGGGAGCCAAGGAGCCAGGGGTATCCAAGTTTGGCTTGAAAGAGGGCGCTATGGAGCTACCAGGAGTTCTGCGACATGTGGCCATGGTTCAAGGCCAATGGGATCCCAGTTTGGGATAGGTGAATTCACCACCCATTTTAGTATTCTATTTTAGTTGGGATTGGGATGTTCACTGGGAATACGGGGTTGAAACCCATGGCCATGTGTCTGGCTGATGAAGAGGGGGCCTTCAAGGGAAACCTTGACTCTGGAAAGTAACCTTGCGAATTTGTTCAGGGGGATCCCGTCGAAGAGATCACCTGCTCTCTTTGGAAACCGTGGCCCGTTCGACGGAATGGACATGGGCCCGTGATGGCCCGTGGCCCAAATAGGCAAATAGGGCTTCTTCGGGTTCTGGAAGGGTTCAAACGGGGCTTGTGATATCGCCTGGGATTACTTCTCAGACCCACTTTTGGCTCAGGTTATCCTCAATTGGTGATTTAGATTGGTGGTTTGGAGGTGAAACGGGCATGGTTCCCCATTTACCTTACAAGAACGAGAGCAATGAGCAGTGCAAATTGCCGGATTGGCTGCATCTTTCTTTTGGTGGGTACCCGTGTTTGGGGATTTTAAATATCTTTCCTTGGGTGTACTTAGTTTGTGAGGTATACCTCTTTCTGGTGAAACCCACCCACTTTCGGCGTCTCCTAAACAATGATCAAACCTAATGATCAACGCACACCACCCCAATTCGGAGTGATCAACTCTAGGGGTAACTTCCTTTTCCATTCTTTCCAGGGATCCGAATCTTTCTAGAAAACCACCAAGAAACCCTGGGAAATGGCGATCGGTTTTTGCAAAGAACGATGGCTGAAAAGAATGACATCGGCATCCACCCCTAGATCAGCGCCCGGAAATCGGCAGGTGCCGCCGCTTCCGCCGGTGGACTTGTCGCTGGCGCACGATCCGCCGCTGCGGTTCCGGCTGGCGCAGGTGACGCCGGTGATGGGGCCCACTGCTGGAGGCACGGGGGGTTGGAGCCTACCCGGGTTTGGGGCGAGCATGGGACTTTGAAGGAAATGGATCGGATTCAGTTGGCGTGGTTAAGGACGTCCTGAGGCCTAAGGTTCTCCATGTGAGCAGCGCCATAAACCCTGACAATACAAAGTAGTAAAGGGGGGTGTCCTATAGAATCCCCGCGAAAGCCAAAACGCAGGCCGCGAAAGCTGGCGAAAGCTTATCGCGAAAGTAACCAAAGAAGGTCCCGCCGCGAAAGACCCGCGAAAGCCTGCATGCTGTGTGGCAGTCCGCCGCGAAAGCGTCGCGAAAGCAATTCTAAAGAAAACAAAGCTCGCGAAAGCAAAACATGGGGTCGCGAAAGCATCGCGAAAGGGTCGGCGAAAGCAAGTTCATAGGACCGCTTTTTACACAAGAGTATTTGGCACGGCTCATGTGGGGACTCCTTGTGAGAAGTTCAGCCGCCTCGGCCTTCAGAATCCCAAAGCCACGGATATTGCCTTCGTGGGGGAGGCGGGGTGGAGGTGGAGGCGGGGTTTGGCGGGAAGGGGGTTGTTTTCTGGGGGAAATATTTTCAACCAGATCCGGCGAGGTAATCATTCCCTCCAATACAGTGGCGAAGGCGAGCAGGCTTTCATAAATATGGCTTCTCCCCTTCTGGTTTCAATGGCAAATTCACCCACCAGGGCAACTGCTTGGCCATTTCTCATGGGCCCCCATGTCTCCGTTCCATTGGATCTAGGTTTCTACCCCAACCAGCTTGCCAAGAGCTCGCTCGAGGCACCAACCTCTCCCTGACCATCACCACCTGGCCGCTGCTGCTGGCGGACTTCCACTTCGACTGCGCGGTGGGCGTGCAGCGGGTCCCAGCCAGGCTCCTGCAGGCGCGGCGTTTCGGCGCGCGTTTCGGCGCGGCGTCGAGGAGAAGCCCGGAGGCTTCGGAGAGGACATGCGAAGCGAAGCAAGCGACCAGGGGTTGCAGATGTTTGCACAGGTGCTTTCGCATGAACATGGCTTTGGATTTGTACATGGAATACTTGAGGACTATTTGAGGGTATACATGGTATACTATTCTTTGGTGGGTAAGGGAAGCCAGAAGGACACCCATCATTCTTGGGTGTCCCCCGGCTTTTCCTTCGAGTCCTCCGTCTGTACAGCTCTCTCCAGCGAGTTCCAGCTGCATGTTGGCACTTCGGTTTCCACGTCCAGCCCTGGGAGGGAGGAGGGGAGGTCTCTTCGGCTCCCAAAAAACAGGCAAAGAAAAAATCTGGGCCTGGCGCTCGGGGAAGTTGGAAAAGGACTCGAAAAGGCGCTGGAAGCCTCCGGCTGCTTTCCCCTCGTGGCCCATGTTTCGGTGATCTGAACTCTTCGTTGATGACCTGAGAGGTATAAACCAGCCCTGAATGCAAACAACAACACAGATGTGTATTTATACATATAATACATATATACCTGGGCCCTCAATCTACCCCAACAAAATGGTGATTGCTCCAAAACATCGACGGTACTACCCTCTTTCACCCAATTTACAAAGGCCTCACAAGAGGTAAATTCCCTCCCCCCTCCCCTCCCCCCAGGCCCCATGACAAACTCTCTGCGAAGTCTTCTCCTGTTTTTTATTCTTATTTGTGCAGTAGGTTAGAACCGTGTCAGCGCGCCTTCAATTGCCTGGCTAAAAGCGTAGGCTAGTTCTGTGACTGATTTCTTCTGAAAAAAAGCTTGATCATTCGCATACCAACTCGTCTTTCTTTGCCCTGAAAAGATCTAGGCCGTTTCAACATGAAGTTTTGGGCTGTTGGATGAGTTTGGCCGAAAGCGAAGATCTCGGGAGCCCCAAACACGGGGATCGAACACCGCAAAAACAAAAGCACATTTTTTGGAATGGAACTCTGGCGTATGTTGCAGCCAAGAACCCGGAAACAAGAAAAATAAAGCAAAAAGCAATACCCTCAATGGTTGCAAGACCTCCCCCCCCCCCGTTTTGTTTTTCCCCCTCCCCTCCGGGTGGTTTTTTTGGCCAGCAACTTCAGGTGCAATCAGCCCCGGACTACCGCAGCTACACGCTGGGCTGTACAGTGCCGGCGGCCATGAACGTGCCAAGGCGAGTCATGCAAGGAAAACATTGCATACGCCCTTTGAGTCAACTTCCCGCTGCTTGTTTCTGGGGTCTCCTCCAAATTGGACCCTCAAACTTCCCATAAAAAACCGGGCGTTGCCAACCACCAAATGGGGCTTCGCTTTTTAAGGGTTGTCCAGGGGTTGTGAAAGTGAAGCTTTTCGCAGAACAGCAACTGTTGTTTTGAATCGGTGTTTTTTGCTACGGGTTACAGGAAAAATACTGGTTCCACCGCTAGCGCCCAAGAAGCAACCGTGATCCATCGAAATGGCTTGAAGCTGTTGAAAAAGAAGGTTCCAGTACAACCACGAGAGCTAGCATGGACCCTGAAGACTCAAACACCCATTGATGCCAATGGTTGTTACCCAGGAGTCAAATTATTCGATCAAGTCAAACTGTTCTCGTAAAGTCGAGCCTTTTTGCCGAATCTGACGAAGATAAACTATTATCATCTTCGACGTGAACCGCTGAAAGTCTGAACACATGTTCACATGTTCTGCAAACATTATGGGCATCTTGTCAAGAAGGGCATTTGGTGGTTCTCACCTGGGTGAAATCGCCCATGGAAAGCGGGATGGCATCCTTTTTGAGTTTTTCCAGACTCCCTATTTGACACCTGGTCAGAGTCAAGTTTACTGGGGTTCAGCCTCATTATACACACCTGCGCAGCAAACCCCTCGATTTGGGTGCCCGGGTTCAGTTGACCTGGAATCCATGCGCCAGGATCACAACAGCTGGCTGCAGCTGCAAGAAGGAGTGGTTTACGCCACAGGGACAGATGTGCGACAACTATTGCCCGGGCCCAAGAACCGACAGCAGGTCGGTTGCAACGTGTGTTGAAACACTCAACCCCTGGTCTGCTCTAAAGGGAAACCAACATGTTGGAGCAATAGGCGTTTAAACATGATTAGCTGCTGGCAAGCCGCATGGGGTGCCCCATGTCGGATAGTGTCCAGGCAGGTGGGTATGTATCAGCATCAGGATTCAGAGCCTAATAGTGGCACTCAACATCTGTTGCTTTCCCTGAGCAAAACCTTAGGTGTTGCTAATATGTTCAGTTGAGCACAGCTGATTTGCTTGGCATTGCGGTTCATGAGTGAAGAGCGCCCCTCCCAACTGCCAGCCTTACTGATTCGAATGTCGGGCAGGCTGACAGCTCGGAGACTCGGAGACTGGGTGCCTGAAGCCAACGAGGGTGCAACGTATCAATCTCACTGTTGCAATGGAAGACATTGAATCGACAGTCTTTGGGTGAACCTAAGCAAATGGGAGGTGTGAATCTAAGTTGGGGACCCTTTGGTGGACATCACACCCGAGAGACACCAACCGAAAGGAACACCGCGATTTGGTGGGTCCCCATTTGGAACCCGCCTGCACAGAATAGAGCCGGGCGTTCAATCTCTTCAGAGGCTTTCTCATGTAGAAGCTCATTCAAACATGGTAAGGGTGGCCTTTCATTTGACCAACATGTATCCTCCTGTCCACGTTGCAACGGAGTCCACCAGAAAAGATGGCCCCTCAAAACCAAAGACCCTCTTGGACCCCGAACTCCGAAACGTCAGGCTGGATGTTAGATGTGGCCATGAATTTTAATAGGGAACCACCTCAAAAGTGATTGGTGGACATGAATCCCCACCTAAATGATGTCCACCAAAGGGCCCCTTATTAAAATTCATAGCCATGTATCCTTCGAGCAGCTCTGCTTGCCAAGCCTTTCCATGAGGCTGCAATCCAGGCAATGCTTCGAGGCCTGCAGCGAACTCTTCGATGGGGACTTGGGATGGATGAAGCCCTAGAATTCCTGGGTACTCGAAGAACCCACTCGGAACCTACAAAAAGGTGGGGGCAGCAAGAACCTGGATCTTGGAACCTGCTGTTAAGATTTTGGAGTAACAGGATAATATATATTTTCACAAAAAAAATGAGAAAACGAACTGGCGCGAAGTGGGTTTTCTCCATCTACAGTATATCACACGGAGCTACTTGCTATCGAAAGCCATGGGTGTGGACTTGACAGGTGGTGGTGAATTCATTTCGGCACAGGACTTGCCCCCGGCCTTGGATGCCTTGCAAGAGCAGAGTCATTCGCAGTAAGCTCCCTTATGTGGTCAGAAGCAGCTCTGTCTATGGTTGAAGTCGTTTGGGGGTCACAGTTAAACCACCAGGGGACCGCAGGATTTCGTCCTTGCTTCCATTTACCAGGATTCCTTTTTGGGTACCCATTTTTGACCCACACTGAGTGAAAAGAGAGCGATTTCGAGAGAGAGCCTCAAAAGCATTGGCAATCATCAAAGCTTTTTGAAAAGAGCCTGTGATGCTGAGGCTGGGTTGCTGAATCCTCTCTGTGAAAACAGCAAAAAAGGGGGACCCGAAGACCGACCAAGTGGGACTAGGCGTCCTTGGTGGTAGCAAGTTTATGGCGCTGGTTGACTTAGTCGTGTCATAATCCACCGATTTTCCCCAAGAGGACGCCGATGATTCGGACCTTGCTGCTGACGGATTTTTCAGTTTTCAGAGCGAGTCGCCAAGTGGATTGTTCTTCGGTTGTTTGTGTTTCTCCTTAGCCTACCCGTTAGGAGCGGACCGTTTGGAGTTAAGGTGTGGCTTGCTCAAGAACTCTGTTTGAGGTCGCAACGGAAAACGTCCCGTTCGGAACATCTTGAAGCGGGGATCCGATCTTCGATTCATGTTGCAACCGTGACTCCGCTGATTGCGCAAGTGTGAGAATCCTCAGTTTGGCTCAAGTCCGACGTGTGCAAGCCGCGATTTGGACGATGCTGCGATTTCTGCTTCTGGTTTCTTCTGCTGCGGCGGAATGGCGCACGGCGAGTGTTCGCTGCGAGGCCGCGGCGTCCTTGGTCCTCCCGTGCATGAAATACAAGCGAACGTGCAAGACTAGGAAAGCTGTGCGGTACATTGTATCCTGACAATTGGGTTTGGGTCGAAATCAAACCATGTTGCCACTTGCCAGGGTTCCATTTTGGGTAATCTCTTCCCCCTATTAATAAATACGGTCCCCCCCTCCCCAATTAGTAAAATTCCTCCCCATTTTTTTTTATTGGGGTTTTCGGAATTGGGTTTTGTTTTGCTTTTCCGACAATGTGAGGGTTCACATAGGATTTGGAGGAAATGGATTGAATTGTAAGGTCCGCGAGTAAGCGGTTGAATAAGGAAATTGTATGTATCATTATATTTGTCTTTCAGTTTACTGGTTGTTTGTTTGCAGCCACGCAGGTTAACTAATTAACCAGCATGTACGGGAGAGAGACAGTCGCAGCTAGACAGCTTTTGGGGACATGTTTTCTTTTGAGGGACACCACCCCAATAAAGGACCCAATTAGGATTGGGGCTGGAAGCTTGTTAAAAGTGCCCCCTAATAAGGATTCCAAGACTTTAGTATTGGTTTAGCATTGGCGCAATGGAAAATCAATTGTGCGGAGTGGAAATCTGGTCCCGGGCCCCGGATTTCCATTTTTTTATTAGTTGGGGTCATTCATTAATTGGGGGAAGAGATTACCTATCTTTGACCCACAGCCAATGGACACAACTATCTAGCGAAATGCAAGAATGCAGCAATAGGATCTAAGAAGCCAGCCGTGCGATCATGCGTCTTTTGAGGCGTCCTCCTCACTCAAGCTTGTAGTGGAACAAAATCTACCTCAAGTCCACTGATGTTCACTGAACAATCCTGTGCTCACTTTTGAAATTTGGGTTGTTTGCCAGACCATGGCCTTTCCTCCCTTTTCTTTTCGTGGGGCATGGCCTTTCTTCCATGTTTCTCGCGGCCTGTTGCCTCGAACGTCGCAGGATGGGGCGCACCCGACTGCGCTGCCCCGGTCCTTCCGCTGCTCAGCTGCGGCGAGCGGAGCCGACGCCACCGGCCGCTTCCTCGACGCGATGAACACCACGGGCTGGGCGCGGCTGCACGTGCGGGGGCCGCTGGGCGAGAGAAAAAAAAACGCGAACAAACAGAAAAACAGCGCCTAAGAAACCATGGGATGATGTTTCCCTTGTAAATACAAACCAGCAATGGTTTCCCATGGTTTTAGTTTGGTGCGGCATGTTGTTCATTCACAGTAGTTCACCACTAGCAAAGTCACCCAGAATGACTCCCCTGTTTTTCACTTCCGTGTTTGTCGCAACCTGTTGTTCTTTCAAACATAGTGCTTGCTGACTGAGGGCTGAGTGTCTGGAGGAAAGGTCGGTAGGAGAAATCACTGGTTTAGTATTGTTTTAGATTTGTTTAGTTTTTGGACACTGGGATTTTGAAGCGACATGTTTATTTGTTAGTGAGACCTTGATTGTTAAGTGAGGAGTACTTGACTTGGGTGCGGTTGCGTCCCCGATTTGGCAGTCTCGAATCAATTTGAGCAACCTATGGGTGGTGATGAGGTTCGCCTGTCGAGGATAATCATTTAAGCAGCGTCTTGTTTGAGGGTTACCTGGGTCTAGACGCTCAAACTACCCATGAAAATTGGGTATTGTCTCCTCCCTCAAACAATGAAAACGGAGTGACGTCTCATTTCAATCGGTCCAGCTAGCCTTTCTGATGTTTGTTCAAAGGGAAACCAATGAAACAACCGTTTTTTTGGGGTTCCCATTTTCAGACGCACCCATTCCCGCAGAAGAGCGAGCCGAGCCCTCAGTAAGTTTGCTCGGCGTTGTTTCTTCGGGAATTTGTCCAAACCGATTTCCGGTTGAAACCGCCCCGTTTGTGACACGGCGTGTTTGCAAATTAAAATGGATAAGAGGAAAATTGAATCGGAAGTTATAAAGCCTTTGCTAGGACTAGGCTAGGAGTATTTAATTATTTCATCCCGTTTTGCAAGATATTCAAGACTGGACCGGGTTTGAAGAGGCAGGAAGGGGGTCTTCCAGGCAGACCATTTTCACTTGGTGGCTGGAAGGGAGCATCCACATGTGCCCAAGACGGAGGCTTTGGGAGCTACCAGAGGTCTGGTTAGGGACATAGCAGTGTACCCCTCCAAGCATCGAGGCTCACAGGAGGGTGTTTTTCAGGCGACATGTTCCTTTTGGTCAAGCCACAACCCGCTTTCCATGTTTGGAGGCTAGGGCGCCAGGTCTTGCATCTTAGGATCCACAAGGGATCTACCCTCAACGACCGCCTGCGGTTGGCTTTCGCCGCCGGCTATGTGGAAGCCGCGCTCACGGCGGAACGCACATGGCAGCACTGGCAGAACCTTTTTCACGATAGCTCCTTGCCAAAGTCAGCTGTTTGTACTCCCCCCCCCCGGAAAGAAATGTCTGTCCGTTTGTGTGTGTGTGTTTGTGTTTGTGTTTGTGTTGGTGTTAGTGTT